GAGAACGAGCACTGGATGCTGACACTCGGCAGGCTTCCTGAAGTGGGCCAATCAGAAGACTGTGGGCTTTTAGAGCGGGGGGGGTGGCCTTGAAGAAACAGGAAGCAGCATTGTTTGTTTCCTGTAGTGGCCTAAACTTAGTAGAGATAAATTGGAGTTTGTAGTATGTCCCCCATTAACCAGGATTCTTGTGTTGTACTACGTTCGTTGTTGGACATGGGCGTGGCCCGTTACCACAGCTGTCACATTACAGAAAACTGGGCCTAAACATATTGAAACAGAAGGTTTTTATAACCATGACATGAGCTAATCTGCGACCCTCCGACTCAGTGGCTCATTCACATACGAACGTCGCTGCATGTAAGGAGTTAGCCGTGAATGAGAGCTTTCAGGTCTTTATCTTTGCCATCTCCCCTCTCTGCTACTAAAAAAGACACACAGGGAACATATTGTGCTCCGGCGGACATATTTTGGCCCATTTGGTAGATTTTAAATGTATGAAATTGGCCTAAATAAATAATCTGTGGAAATACATGTCAGATGTCACACATGTTACTCCAGACGTGTGCTTCTGGAGCCGTGGGCCGGGCTGCAACACGGGCCGCAACACGGGCTGCAAAATGGGCTGCAACACGGGCTGCAACACGGGCTGCAACATGGGCTGCACGTCTGGTTCTGGTGGGAACCTATAAATAAATGTGACTGCTGCTGCTTGTAAGGCAGCACTGAAGTGACGGATTAAGACATAAAAAACCCAAAAAACTGTTGTGACCTCCAGATCAGGATAGTTCCAATTAATGGCTGCAAAAATAGAAATCTTTTTACAAAACAAAACTTTCTTTATAGAGTACGAAGACATTTTAATTCGCTTGGAGACAACCCGTAACAAGAAAATCTGATTCTGTGAGTCAACAAAGCCGAGAACATCTGTGAGACCAGCTTGGTACGATCTTCAGGACAGAAGGATCCTATAATGTTCACGCCAGCTCCACAGAATCACCCTGTGAGTTTTCTTTGTCATAAGAATCACCGAAGTCGTAAATATGGACGCAGCGTGACTCTTAAAAAGTCCCCTCCGACCTACCAATCGATGCTCGGACCAACGGGTTCATGGGAGTTTTCTAATCGTCGCGTCTTCTCAGTGTTTCGTTTCCTCGTTTTGGAATTTGGCTGCACTGACTTGGAAACGCATCAGAACTCCATCAGGTCTGTCCAGCGTTGGCCAAAAAGGGATTCAAATACCTCGCGATGCCATGATTACCACGGTGAAGCTTTTCCAAACCGGGTAGACAACGAGGGAAGAAAAACGCTGCTATTATATTATTATGATAATTAATGTGAGTTATTGTAGCGGCGCATCACACATGACATCAGCGTGCGGCTCCTGTAAAGTTTTCTTTCTCTCGGACAGAAAGTTCGCTCGGTACCGGTTATTAGCGGGACGACCGGGAGGCGGTCGCCACAAATCACACGGCAAATTTAAGCCTTAAGGTTCCCGTCAGCTGCCAAAGGCTACATCACGCACGGGGCTAATTTCAGGAGAAAAAACGTCTGCAGCATCATTTTCTGTCCTTACTTTCCGGAGCATCAATCATTTTTAATCAGAAATGTCTACGTTTTGTTTTTGTTTTTAATTCCATGACTTCGGCAGGCCGTCGGCTTTTCCTTTTTTTTGTGCATGAAACATGTTGTTGTTAAGCTGGAGGGCTGCTTATAAAAAATGGTCTTCATATGAAATGCTTGCATACTGAGCAACTAGTACCAACAATATGCTTTCCTCTGATATTGTTTTGCACCAAGGTGGAAAGAATATGAGGCACTTTGAAGTCGAATTTGCATATTTGTGTGACAACTTTAGCCATAAAAGTGTTACTTAAAGCACAGATGTGTCACTTTTTAGCTCATATTTGTTATTTTTTGCAAAGATTTTTGTCTTGTTTCATAAAATTTGAAAATAAGAATTAGTTTTTAGCCCCAAGAATTAAATGAAATGCTGTTTTCACCCCCCCACCAAACACAAACGTGGCCTTTGGGGACGTGTCAGAATTGATGGCTTACCTCCTTAGCATTTGTGTGCGTATTTGTGTGTGTGTGTGTTGGTGTGTGTGTGTGTGTGTGTGTGTCCCTTTGAAGTTCTGAAGTCCGCCCACCTCTCCGCGGACCCACATTGTGCCGAACAGCTCCATTTGTCCCACCTTAATCCCCTGATGTAAACTTGCATAAATCACTCTGAGTTGTTTCCAAACTGGGAAAACTCCGTCTTCCTGCTTCGTTCTGCTTTCAGACGCTTTCAGAGGCTTCTGGTTGTTTCAGCTGAACAACCTGTGTTGGTGAGGAGTAAAAATGCGTCTTTTGCAGGCAGCTATGGAGAATAATCGATGTTTTGTGATTCACCAGAAACACAACGTCTGAGCTACAGCTGGAGAATCAAAGCGTTACAGGAGAATCTTTCCATCAAACTTAGACTAAAAACTCTGGCAGATCTGGTGCTGCACTGTTCCCCCGTTGCACATGGTGACATTGTTCAGCGCCGAGCTCCGAGCCGTGGGCCAGCGTGGTGGCGGTGGCGGTGGCGGCCTCGGTGCGCCGAGGCGAACCTCTCTCCACCGGTGGCTCTGGGCCAGATTAAAGTGCCGGGGCTCATTGTTGACACAGCTCTGTGGTGCCACGGCTGAGCAGCCCCAAACAATGGGCCCCTGCTCCCCTTTGTCGGAGCCAGAGGAAGAATGGAGACCTCTTGACATGGCAACCTGAAGCCTCAATGCCCCCACTTCACCTAGCTGAGAGGGTCACAGCGAGAGGAGAGGGGAGGAGGAAGGAAGAAAGAAGAAGGGGAGAAGAGGGGAAGCTAGAGATAAGGAAGGAGGAAAATGGAGGAGAGAGGAAGTGAGATGTGAAGAAGAAATGATGACGCAGCAGAAGTGAAACGTCTGATGATAAGAATGCGACAATAACAATGATTGAAGAGTGAATTTGTGAAAACAGATCACTCCATTTTTGTAGATTTTTTTTGTTGTTTGCTTGAGATAATAGTTTTAACTTAAGTTTGATGCTGTCTCAGGTAGACGATGGAGAAGTGGGTTTTCTGGAGGTTTTTCTGTTTTGGACGTCTCTTCAACTTTTGCTGTGAAAGTCAACGAGCATAATTTCCAACTATTCCTTCATCGTTTTATCTACAGTCGATAATCGACCCATAACAATCCTAAACCTTGCTATCCGGAAAAACCAACAGAACCCATAAAAACAGCCTTAACATAGCGACAGCCTTGGATTCTGACTCCGACATGACATTTAATGTCACCAATCAGGATGACGGCGTATTATCTGACTGAACAATCCCACAGATTGGCTACGTTCACACTGCAGGACTTGATGCTCAATGAGGATTTCTTTGTGACTTCCTTCACGTTTCCAGTTCAATGCGACTTGTATGTGATCTGCTGTGTGAACTTCATACGACCCAAAAGTGTCCCGCATGCGCAGAAGAGGACACGACGACGTCACACGCAGCGAGCGTGCTCAGTGTTTATGGAAGTAAACATGGATGGTAACGGTGGAGCGTATCTGCCACTCCCCCGCCGCCACCGATGGAGGAAACAGAAGTGTGAGCGCTAACTAAACTAGCATCAGCAGCCAAGTACTGCCTGTGTGTTCTGGACACTTCCACCCCGTCAGAGCGCTGCCCCGGGGTGAAATATTCATCATTAATATCCAGAGAGCAGAAAGTGCTGTTGGGATCAGCCCTACCAGTTACTAGAACAATAATTAACAACTAATGAGCCTTCCAGCATCAAGCCCTCCTCGTATCTGGACCTCCGTCTTGACAATCCGACATAGAAGAAGGTTTTACATCTAGTGTCGGATTATCGAGTCATGACTGTATTTCTGTCCCTTCCAACATCTGTATCTTCGCTCTTCTTGTGCAGGTTTTCCTCCCAGAAAAAAGAAATCAAATCATCATAAAAACTCCCACTAACATTCGTACAACAACCTCCAGTCTTCTCCTGCATTTCTAACATAACACAGTAAACTGACGTGAACATTGTGAACCGATGTTCAGCGTGTGTGTGTTTGTCATCGTGAGCTGCTGCTGCATTCCTGCTCGCTCTCACAGGACCCGATTTTTCCTGTAATCTTCTGAAGAGAGCGCCGGGATATTAAATGTCTTGTTTCCATTAGCTTTCAGAAGTGAGAGTCATCGCTTTCCTTTCTTTTCTTTCTTTCTTTTTCTTTTCTTTTTTTCTTTCTCGCTCGCAGGTCACTTTCTTGGCAACAATACGGTCATTGATGTGCTGCGTCGCCAGGGATACGAGGTGGAGCACACCCCCGCCGGGCAGCCCATAAACAGGTAAACTCGCCGCTAAAAGCCCCTTAAACACACAAACACGCTTCATCCGGCGACACGGGCTGGATGCAAACCTCACAGAAAGCATCGCAGTTCATCCTCAAGCTTTTTATTCATCTATTAATTTCAACTGCACTCGTTTTCCTTCTTTCTGTTTATTAAAGGTCTGCAGAACTTGTTTTCCTAAATCCTGTGTTTTCTTTGCACGTCGGCTCCTTTAACCTTCTCAGACGTTAGCGCTCATGAATCTGACGAATTCCCCGGCGGCCACCTATGAAGCGGTGTTGAAAAGGCCAACTTAAGCAGGGCTCATACCTCCCGCTGTGAAGCATGTAGTGCAGTCTAGCATGGCGCGCCGCGGGTGGCTATCTCGGTTTGAGATCTGTGCTCTTGTTCCTGTGCGAGAGCCACTGAATGAGCAAATCTACTTTCGCACACAAAAGGCACCGAGTTCGATGCGGGATTGTCTGAGCCGCTCGTACCTGAGTGAATGCACGACTGTACGAACTGAACCTTCTCATCCCGACTCGTCGTGCCGGCTTGAGGGCGCGTTACCGTATGTGCATGTATGGGGATTGTTAGTCATCAGAGGCGACCAGCAGCTCATCAGTGTTTCCAATCAGAATCTTTTTGGGTTTTACTTCCCGTTCCAAAGCTTTAATTTGTTTTTCCAGAGAACCTCGGATATGTTCTCCATTCGGCCGTCTGTTGCTTCTTGGAGCATCCTGTCCTTACATTGCATGAATTCTTCCTCGGTGTCCTCCCTTCCTTCCCTCCCTGTCCTTAAACTTCACTCCGTCATGTTTGGATGAACCTCAGCGGCTCATGTGCTTCCATCGGGTCACGTTCAGGACGAAATATTTACCACAAACTCTGTCAGTCACCGGTTGTTGGAATTTTATTGAGGATTTATAGTCCGGGTGGAGTCACGGTTACGATGGAATCAGAGAAAAAGAAGCCAAAATATATCCAAACATCCACAGAAAACGCTTCCAGTTTGCTTTAAAAATTGGATTAAAAACTAAACTGAACAAAAACGGTCTCTTTGTGCAGCTACTAGTCGAGCCAAATGTCAGCAATCACTCGTATCTTTACCTTTTTACCTGTTTTTCATACAATTAGACAACAAAACCCAACAATAAGAACCCCTTCCTGCCGCATTAAGCCTGATTATTTGCTTCATAATATTGCTTCAACCCTGTTTATAGATAATTTCATGGTTTTGACACATGCAAAATGAAGATTATGAGGCCAAAAAGTTAAAATAAAATACATGTTGTGTGAGGTTAAGGCTGCAAACTGTATTTTAATTATGGAAAATTACGATTTAAATGATTTAACAGTAGTTTTTTGGTATTAATGCTGCTCTCCTGAGTGGGAATCCTCTGTTTGTCCCAGTCCACCTTATAGCTAATTATACGTTCCTAATTGATCTGGATAAACAGCCCTGTGATTGGCTGAAGGAGGTGCAGACGTCTCCTTTCTTGTCAGACTATTTTAATCACAATATGCTGAATTTTCACTGTCTACTCCGGCTTTAATCGTGCCTCTGGGTCCAACGCTCGCAGACGATTTGTGTCTTAAAACCTAGAGGACTTCTTTCGCTGTGCGTCCTCTCAGGAGGGAGACGATCTCGGCCTGGTTCGGTTTCCAAACCCATCTCTGCCGACCGATCTGGAGTTTGCAAACTGACAACGACAAAAAACAGCTCAGCAGCTACTGTTGAGGCTGCTGTGACAGTCCAGGAGCGTCAGAGCAGGAAAACGTGTGAATGTTTTAGTGACGGCATCAAAATTGTGACTTTTATTCTTTTGCTTTTCCACTTTTAACTGTGGGTTAGACACAAACGATAACACATCATTTGCCTCTTTCCTTCATAAGCATCTCACCATCCTGTCACGATTCTCCTCCAGGAGGGCGTCGTCCAGACCGGCCTCGCCAGAGTCAGACCACCACCTCGACGAGTCCCCCCTGCTGGAGCCGTTCCTCCACGAGCTCCCCCACAAGGAGGAGGACCAGGGCCGTCCTCTGGAGGACGACGACCTGCTGCCCCACATGCTTCTGCCGCCGGACAGCCTGGAGCTGCTGGAGAAGGCCGAGAGGAAAATGCTGAAGAAGAAGAGGAGGAACAAGCAGAAGAAACAGCGGCACCGGCATTTCAACGACCTCTGGGTTCGCATAGAGGAGAGGTAAGAGAGTCCTGTCAGCACTGACCTGAGATCAGAGGTTAGACATGAGGGCAGAAGGAAATGGAAGAGAGTCGTAGTTAGAGCTCAGAGAGGGGAAACAGGAAATGTGCAGTCTGTAGGATCAAACCGACACTTCCTGGTTTGGTGCCGCAGGCTCCAACAGTCGCTGTATCACAGCTCACAGCCTGCAGCGCGAGTCCAGACGAGCCGGTGTGAGTATCCTGGATGTGAAAACAGCAACCTGGGAATTCCTCCTGAGCATCCGGCTTTGGTCTCGCTGTAGCTCCAGGCAGGGACTAACCGGACGACAGAACCGGCTCACCTTTCAGACGGAAACAGGAGCCCTCAGCGCGAGGTGTGGTCCGCCGCGCTCCCGGCTCCTCCAAACGGCAAAATTAGTTTTCGTGGACGTGCACGAGGGCAGCAGGGGAGGCGGTTTACATGAGCCTCCATCCATCGGCCGCCCATCCTGCTCACGGGTGGAGGCGAGAAGCAAAACATTTAAATCAACCGCCGCCGTTCACACCTGTCGGCAGCTTGTAGTTTCCAGTTTCACCTGACTTGCAGAAATTTGTTTTGTGGGAGAGAATCAGAGCAATTAGAGGAGACGACAATGAGGAGAAGCAAAGTTAACACAAAGAGCTAAAGAGGAGGTCAGTCAGACATCGACTGAACCGCACCGTCTGGGATTAACGTCACGATCAGAACCGAGATTTTGCTTCTTCTTCAAATATTTATCAAGTAAAATCTTTTTTTTTCTTTCTTTTTTTTTTTTAAACCACGTTTGTTTGTTTTTAATGTCTAATGAACGTATGAACACTGTAAAAAATAAAAATTACAAAAAATCTGTAATTTTAGGGAAATTTTTCCACATTTTTGAAAATCACAAAAATATTAGCAAGAGAGATCAAAAACCATAAAAAAATAGATTTTTCTTTAATATTATGTGTTAAAAACTCATGTTATACTGGATATGATCTTAAATTACCAGGTTATTATTGTCATTATATTCAAAAATACATTTTTTACTGAAGATGGTTTTAGTTTTTTTCAAGGATAAATAATTTCTAGGTGTACATACTTTTTTTTTAAAGATTTATTTGTTTAAAAAAAAGACACTTGATGTGATCTAATATTGACATAATAATATTTTTTTGTATTTTTATTTTAACTTTTTTTTTTTTACTATTTTTTAAACATAAAATTATATAATAAAACCAAACTAATAAATGCAGTATTTAGTCTAAATATTTTTAAAATATTACATTATTCAGCCACATTTATAGGTCATTTATTGTTTTTACACATGAAAATATCCTTTGTTAAATATTAATTTTATAAAATAAAGAACAATATGTGGAATTAAGGCTACCAACTACATTTTAATAGTGGAAAATTACATATATATTTTTTTATTTTCCAGTAGTTTTTGGTTCCCCAGCTGCCGTGTCTTTGTAGATTTTTATTTATTTAATGCCTGCTGAAGTCAGCTCTCCCAGACTTTCCTCCTGTGTTGTATTAACGTCGTACAGACGGAGACGTCGGCGGTTCACACAGGAACATGAACGCTACACGTCATCTCAGTCAGAGCTCACGTTTCTAAGACGTCTCGGCCCCCAGATTACTGGCTGGACTTCTCCTGTGGATCCATTTTCATTTTCTTCCTGTGTCGATGTTGCCTTTCTTCACTCTCCCTCTGTTAATACGAGCAGCTTTAAATTCTCTTTACTTTGGCTTGAATCCACAAACGAGACGACTCAGCGGTCAGCGCGATGTGGAGTTTCCACGTTCACACAGTTTCCTCCTGCAGTCCAGAGACATGCAGGTTAATACGAGAAGTCAAACTGTGAATTGGTGCAAATATAATTCTCTAAATGTTTTGTTTGTTTATTTGTTCTTTTTTGCATCTGATAAAATACAAACATTTGATAATAATAACAGATTAGACACAAGATTACATCACATACAAAAATAATTGTACATTTTTCACCCTTTTTTTTGTTTTACAGCTTTTTTTCTTTTTTTTTAGTATTTTGGAATAAAATATGAATTCAGTTACAAATATACATTGTGAATTACATGTCTAATATATATATTTTTAAAAAACTGTCACTGTGAATAACAATAGTTCAAAGAAAACAGAACATTTTTAAAATAAAATTTGCTAAATTACATTCACAATTTTACTGTAAACTCACAAATATAATTTAATTTAATTTAATTTAATGTAATTCTTTTTACAGTGTGCTGATCTTAAATGGACATTTGCTCAATCTGCTTAAATAAAAAAAAGGAATAAAAAAAAAACAACAACCTGTATCTACTAAATTAATATTTATAGGTAATCAAGAAGCTTAATTTTGTAAAACAGAGGATCATGTTGAAGCCGTTGTTTAGAATAAAGTCTCTGATGCTGTCAGGAGGTAAGACGTAAAAAAAAAAAAAAAAAAAGGAGGAGAAATGAGAAAATGTGTGTGTTCAGTGACCACCAGATGCATTTTCTTACATTAGCAGGTTGAATGATTAGAACTAACCTGAACCTGAGCAGCACTCTGGCCTTCAGCAGGTCTTTCACCTGAACTCGTGTTTTTCCGCCTACAGTACGCGTGATTCCAAACTAGCGTCGGAAAGAAAAATCCGACCGAGCAGCGGCTGTTCTTGGCGGGAACAGAGGAGGTTTGTGAGCGTTTGTGTACGTTACGTCTGCAGAAATGTTTTCTGTCTTTCTGCACGAGGCTGCATTACGAAGGGAAAGGAAACAGACTGTTTGTGTACGCGTGTTACCGAGTGGACTCGCTGCACGTCTTTGTATATTTTAATGTCTGAGAAGGTGGCCGAGTAACGGGGAGGCGAGGCGGCCTGAAACACTGGAGCGTCTGCAGAGCTCCAGGCCTCTGCTGCGCCACGCCGGCGCTGTGTCGCACCTGGTTTCCTCTTCAGGCCCTCGAGTCCAAATAAACCAGCAACATTTTGAAGCCTTTGCATGTTTTAAAAGAACGATTTCAACAGTTTATAGAAACTTTAAGGAAACAAATCGAAGGTCTGCTTCCTGCTCGGTCGGAAAAGTACGGAGCGGCCGAAGCCAATCAACAGGGACGCATCCGCTAATGAGATTAATTAGAAATCGTGAGAGAAGACTGAGTGTTTAACGTGTTCACAAGCTTCTGTTTGATTCTGTTGCTGAACCGCCATCGTTCAGCGTCGTTGGAGTTAATCAGGGAACTGCTGGTGGAGTTCATCTGGTTCTGAAACAGCAGATTTTGGGCATTTTAGCGCTTTAGCTTTCCAACTATGTCGTTTGGTCAGCCAAGGAAATGACAGTCCGCTGGAATCCCATTTGCAGACACGACAGACGAGAGGACACCTGGTGATGGAGGTCTTTTTCTACCGTACGCTATCTTAAAACCACCTGATTCCATTTTATCGCCAGTATTTGGAACAAGAAGGAAAGTCAAAATGCAAAAAGACCAAAAAAACTCCCATAAAGAGCGAGCAGGATAAGTGAAAACACGAGCAGGCAGATCGGCGGCTGGTTCACGGCCACGAGCTGATCAATGGCTTCTCCTTTGTAGCCTCGGCGCTCATTAATATTTCCATTGTTTACTTCCTGCATATTTTCTCTGGCTCTGGTGGACGACGCGCTGATGGAGAGCGAGCTCCGGTCTTCTGCTGATTTCTTTTTGTTAAATCCCGGAGAATGGCACAGTGCAGATATGGAACAAGAAAGGCTTTGTGTTTGAGAGGAAATTAAGGAAAAGACTGGAAATAATAAGGCTGGTGTGACTCCAGAACACGGGGGGAGGGTTCTGGGTTCAGACACTTATTATATGAAGCCCGTTTGGACCGCGTGAAGAGTTTTTTTTTTGTTAGAAACATAAAAAAA